AAGCGGGGCGGGGGGACACGATCGGGCAGTCCTTGCTGTCCCCCAGCCACCATCAGCCGTGCCGCTCCCCCTCCCCTCCCAGGTGCACTGAAATCCTACCTGCGGGAGCTGCCCCAGCCTTTGATGACCTTCGAGCTCTACAACGAATGGGTCAAAGTGGCCAGGTGGGACTGGGTGTTTGGGTGGAAAAGCCTGGCAAGGCTCAAAAAGCCCTCGGTCGCCTTCCTCCATCCCTCCCGGCACTCAGAGCAAGGCTGCTCAGCCTCGTTCAGGGAGATACGAACACAGCACCTGCCTTGTCCCATGGTTAGCAGAAATGCAGATGGCCCAAAATCTCGGAGAATAGCAATAAAAAACATAGGAGGGTGAGGGGGAAGGCTGCAGCTTTTCTGATTGCAAAAAGAGCTTAGTCTGGGAAGACCTACTTGGCATGAGCCCCATCCTACCGGCCCACCAGCCCAGTTTGGCCTCTTGCTTTTGGGATGGAAGGGGGTGGAAAAGGAGGCACAGCAAAAAGCCTGGGGAAAGCGGGAAATCTGAAGGAGGGTGTAGTGAAGTGGGGGTTGGCCTCTTCTCCCAGGGAACCAGTGACAGGACAAGAGGGCATGGTCTGAAACTGCGCCAGGGGAGGTTCAGGCTAGAAATGAGGAGGCATTGCTTCACAGAAAGCAATGTCGTTCAGCATTGGAATGGGCTGCCCAGGGAGGTGGTGGAGTCACCATCCCTGGAGGTGTTTGAAAAAAAACTGGATGTGGCACTTGGTGCCATGGTCTAGTTGGCATGGTGGTGTTAGGGCAAAGGTTGGACTCAATGATCCCAGAGGTCTCTTCCAACCAAACCGATTCTGTGATTCTGGGAGAGCATCTTTCTGAAGGGATCAGCTCAGTGCCAATGAGCCCCATAGTCACAGTGAAATAGGGTGGCTGCTGGTGGCAAGGCAGTGCTAGCCCCCAGGCCCACCCACAAGCTATATTCTTATCATATTAAATCCCTCTGAGCCTTTGGGGTGCCATTTTCTCCTCCGTGGATGCCTGCCTTAGCTACCCAATAAAGGCAGCAGCCGAGCATCTCCCTCCCCAGGGCTATGGCCCAGACGGGGTGGCTGACACCCTGGCACACTGTGTCCCTCTCTGCCATAGGGAGCGAGCTGAGCTCTCCACCTCCTTCTTCTCTCTTGCAGCTTAAAGGACGTTGACAGCCGCATACAGAGCCTGCGAGACACCTGCAGCCGCCTGCCCCGGGAGAGCTACAACAATCTGAGGTGTTTTTGCAGGGACAGGGCTTCTTCGGCCCCAAACAATCACCGGGGGCAGCCATTCCCTTCCCAAATCCGTACTTACCACCCCCTCGCCCTCCTTTTACCCCACAGGTATCTGGTCAAGTTTTTAGCCAAGCTGGCCGAACACCAGGAGGTGAATAAAATGACCCCCAGTAACATCGCCATTGTGCTGGGCCCCAACCTGCTGTGGTCGCAGCAGAGCACAGAGTAAGGCCTGGCTCGGAGGGGTGGGAGGGAGCTCCCAGCCTTGGCTGGGGTGCCCTAAGCACCAATGCCATGGGAAAGGCTGAGCCAGCAGCCTTCAGGCACCCGCGCCTCTTCCATCCTCAAGTCCTGTCCCTTGTCCCCGCAGTCCCCGAGTGGCACATCCCCTTAGCCAAGCACATGTCCTCTTAGCCACTCTGCAAAGCAGCAGAGGAAGAGGCTGAGACCTGGAGCACTTGTTACATGGATGGCTTCCAGCACTGTTGGCCTCCCAACATCAAGCCAGGGTTTCCAGGACCATGAACAAGGCCCACCTCCTGCTCTACTACCCACCTTGGCTGGCCTGTCTCCCCTTCAGGCTCTACCCCCTCAGGAATGAACACCAAAAGAGTTAATGCCCCAAAATCCCTTTTCTGATGCTTCCCCCATCCCTGTCTTTCAGAGACCCCATGCAACTGGACTTGGCCTCGGTCTCCTCCATCCAGGTGGTGAGCGTGGTGGAAGCCCTCATCCAGAACGCAGACACCCTCTTCCCCGGAGGTAGGGCCAGGGCCTCGCTTGGGTGGCCGCAGCCCAGGGTGAAGGGGAGAGGAAGGGAAAGGGACATTTGTCCATCCCCAGGAGGAGGGAAGCAGAGGGGCTGCTCCGGTTCCCTGCCGTGGGGTCATTGGGGGGGAGCTCTGGGTGGCAAGCGCTTCCTCACAGGGTCTCCTCCTTTCTCTCCACCCAGAGGTAGATTTCAATGTCTCGGGCATGTTCATGCCACCAGAGAACAGACGACTTGGTGAGGCCGCCCCGGTGGAAGAGCTGACCCCTGAGCCCCCTCCAGCTAGCACCTCAACTCTCCCAGATGGAGAGGCGTGAGTCTGGTGGGAGCTGGGGGTTCTGGTTGTCCCAGTTCTCCCCATGTTCTCCCCCCATCCCACCCCACACCAGAGGCTGTACCCTTGCAAGTGGACACGAGGTGCCTCGTGGCCAAGACCACCATGCCCAATCAAATCCTGACTTGCCCCATTCTCTGCGCAGCACCTCGAGGGACCCAGAGGCCAGGTCCCAGCCGGCATCCCCAGCAGTGACCAGACCTCCCGAAACTGCAGGGCCGCCGGCTCCAACAATGACTGATGACACTGCCCGCAAAGGTTAGGGTGCCCCAGATGGCACAGTGCTTGGGAAATGACAACCCCCAATGCCACCTCCTCTGGTTTGCCTTCATCCCCACCATTCCCCGCACAAAAGGGTGCTGGGGATGTCCCTGCCACCAAATGAGGGGAAGGGGATGGGGCAGCATGGCCAGGATCCAGTCCTTCATTGCGTACCCCAGCCCCAGCCAAGGTGGGACTGTAAGACGGACATGAAGTCCTTCAGTGTTGGGTTGAACACCGCCCATAAAGAGATGTCAAAGCTCACAGCCCCTTGTGAAGGGAAGAGGGTGGGAAAAGCCCCCAAAAGCTGCTGTGAACTTGGGTCTCCAGTATGGGAGCTGGGCAAGGGGCAGTTTGTCCATCAGTCTGCCTGCAGCTCCCTGCCTGACACATGGCCGGCACCACAGCCCCCACCCCTGCCCTGAGGAGAGACCCCAGCGGCGAGGACCCCAGTCCACCCCAGCTTTCTTTGCAGGCAAGCGCCCAGCTCCAGCCCGACCCATGATGCCGCCGCCACCCGTGGCCCAGCTCCGGAGCATGGCTCCCACCC